TATATATATATATAATACAAAAAAATAGATCAAATATATATATTTTTTTTATGATGTATTTTCTCTTATGTTTCAATATAATTCTTATATTATTGCATATTATATCTTACATGTGTACATACATTTATATATTGTTCATCAAGCATGAAGCTAACTCGCAAGCGAGTTAATACATGTGAAACCATGACTAGCAGCACTTCCATCACAGCAGTATACAACGCATACCACATAGCAGCATGCAATAGATCTATCGGCTAAACCAGCAAGAAAATATGCATCGTATGCCGTAGGCATAATATGTGTATCCTATATTTTCTTTATATCATAATTAATTTAACAATTTATAAATGTGATAAACAATTATTCATATCATTTCTTTTTCATAACTATATACAAGATAATAGCTGCGTTTGGTAATGCAAATCTGAGGCGTCGGAGTGCTCTTATAGCATATGTCACGTGCACTGTAGAAAAAAAGCACTCCGACGCCTCAGATTTGCATTGCCAAATACAGCTATTTAACCCTCCGCGAACCAGATGGAAAATCAACATAAATCATAGTGTGTGTGGTATATCTCATATCCCATGCTATATTTGATCATAAATATATTATAATTTAGTATAATTAGCAACGCACTCTTCAGCATAAAACCGGCAACATACGCGCTGTAAAAAGTTTACGCTTTTTAAAAATTCATCTTGCTGAAATATGTCACCCCACTTAGTTCGCAGAGGGTTAAGATGATTTAGATCTTAAATGGAAGATATCACTAAATTGAATAAAAAATATCAAATCATAATTTTAAAAAATTGATTTTTAACAATTTTCAAGCTTCTCTGCTAGAGAACACAAACATAATTTGCATTTCTTCATGGATTTAGGATTTGTATAATTTTTTTATGAAGTTAGTAAAAGAAATCGATTTACTTCAAAAGAAATCTAAATCTATTAAAAAATGCAAGTAGATCACATTGTTTCTCCAACTAGGTATATACAGGGTGTCTCATTTCAAAATGATAAATATATATCTCTTGAACAGTGCAGTTACAGAAAAATGTTTCAGTTATAAGTGGAATGATTTCGAGGAAGATGTATTTTGATCACGTTGTTTTTCTTCTAGGGAAAGGCGCCAAAAAGATTTACTTTCCTGCATTTTTTTTTTAATAGAATCATTTCTTCTTCTTCTTATGTTAAGCCTTTGCCCTATTATACCTCTCATATGCTTGTGATGCACATGCTGATTATTGCCACAAGCATATGGAATCTACAGTTTTAATGCTGGTTCCAAATGACGGATTTTTCAAGATATTTCTGTGGATAAGGATACTCTTGGAAGATTGCTGGCCTTTTCCGAGAGGAGACACGAGCGTAAATATATTGGTTCTTACTGGAATCAAACCCGAGACCTCTGGCAGGATAGACCAGTACACTATCTGTCACACTCTCGCGTTCACTGCCACGCTCGTGCTCTATCATGTCATTTCTACATAATATAATTCTTCAAATTATGTTTAAAATTAAAAACAATATAATAGGTTCCAGCGAATAAAATTCAAATAA